GCACATGACTGGCCCAAGGTTGCCCAGTGAACTTCACGGCAGTGTGGGGCCACGGGCTAATGGCATCTGCTCTGCACACACAAAGTCCCAGGTTCAGTCTCTGGTTAAAAGGCTCAGGTAGTAGGTGATATGAAAGGCCATGGAGAGTTGCCACCAATCAGAATAGACAGAACTGACCTCGATAGACCAAACATCTGACTCAATAGCCTGGCACACCTGACCCTCCAAGCACTGACTGAACAGGCAAAAGATGACATAAGCACACTGGCCCTGCCTCCCGCCTCTTGATCACCAGCTTGTGCACACAGGAATTTTCCATGCATGTGTGCCTGCCCTGTGACTGGTAATTGTGAAAACAGTGTCCCCAAGAACAGGCAGTTTCAAAGGGAGATTAGAAAGAAAGACTGCTGAATTGCAACTGAGAACAAAGCTCAAGACAATGCAACCACCTGGACTGAATCAAGACCTAGGTTTCCTGTCTCATTACCAGTGCTGATTTCTCCGCACCTACTACCTCTCCGCATATCACACCTAATCCAATCACACAGACTATTGTCATTCGGCATCTGAAATTACTCCACTCTCCAAAGTATAAGGACAGATGGACTCACATGCTAGCTGTATCTGAAGAAGTGAGCAGTGGCTCATGAAAGCTCATACCCTGCCACAGATTTTGTTAATCTTTAAGGTGCTGCTGGACTCTTGCTCTTTTCTACTTTCACATTTTGCGTGCCTTGGAAGAAGGGCAGGATGAAGGGGTATTCATGGGTCTTCCCTCCTCATCAACTATCCTTGCAGCAATCTTGGGAGGTACGATATGCTGAGAGCACATGACTGGCCCAAGGTTGCCCAGTGAACTTCACGGCAGTGTGGGGCCACGGGCTAATGGCATCTGCTCTGCACACACAAAGTCCCAGGTTCAGTCTCTGGTTAAAAGGCTCAGGTAGTAGGTGATATGAAAGGCCATGGAGAGTTGCCACCAATCAGAATAGACAGAACTGACCTCGATAGACCAAACATCTGACTCAATAGCCTGGCACACCTGACCCTCCAAGCACTGACTGAACAGGCAAAAGATGACATAAGCACACTGGCCCTGCCCTCCTGATCACCAGGTTGTGCACATGGCACCTATGCACACAGGAATTTTCCATGCATGTGGGCTTGCCCTGTGAGTGGTAACTGTGAAAACAGTGTCCCCAAGAACAGGCAGAGAGTGTATGCACGGACATGCATGCAACTCACAAGCTGGTGATTGCGGGACAGCAGGGGACAGGGCTCATGGGCTTATCTCTGCTCATCCAGTCAACACATGGAGGACGGAAGAGTCATACATACATGGCCAGTACAAAGCAGTTTCATGTGTTCAGCTCAGGTGTCCCTGCTTTCAGTCCGACAAGTACCATTATACTTCACAGGTTCTGAATTACTAATACCTCTCTCCAGTGCCCGCCCACCCCAAATTTCCCAGGACTCACCAGTTCGGCAATAGGGGTAGGCATTCCAAGCTCTCTCGTGGACAACTAGCGACCCTTCAGGGGCAAACATCTTAATGAATCCTGGAACTTTGCTGCAAGAGAGAAAACCAGGAGGAGGAATCAAACCAAGTCCGAGCCTCCAGGCGCCCCTGCGCACCCCTCACAGGGCAGTGCTGACCTCTGGAGGTGGTAGATCTTGTGGGTGTACTGTCCCCGCTCCCCTTCACGTTCGTAGGGCTCATTTTTGAGGACCTCGATTCCTTCACCTCCACCGGTGTTGTTCTTGCTGGCCTCGGCCACGGAGAACAACTGGCCCACCTGATACTAAGGAGGGAGAGACAATGAGTTGCATGGGTGGCCAGAGAAATCCTCTCCCACTTATGAAAGGAGGAAGCTGGGTCTGCCCCCACCCCTCGTGACATTTCGCTCCCACCCCTGATCGCCCATGCTCCTTTGCCAAGGGAACATGAACTTCTTAAGAGCAGTGCCTTAAAGTGCAACTTACCTCCTCCACGGAGCAAGGCAGCACTACCCGGCTGGTTGGGGAGGGGAAAGAAAGGGGGAAAGTTAGAGAGGGGCCTCCTAAAATGGACACAATATCGACACTCGAATGCACTATACGGGAAGCCCCACTAGTGTCCCTTTAAGACCCTACTGTACTCTCCAAACTCAATGGCATGCTTTTACAACCCGTTATGTTTATTAAGAAAGACAGTTATCGCATGCCGGTTGGGTTAAGTGGCAATTCAGTGAGACTAAAAGGAAAATTTACTACTGCTTTTTGTGGCTTGACATGTATCGGTCCCAAGATGGTAAAGCATGACCATGTTTACATTCTCTCTGCCAGAATCAGAGCTACGCATTCCCTCTGCCATAAATCAGAGCTAAGGCAGTGCTATCATATTTACTGGATAAAACATACCATTGTAGAACAGAGATGCACAAACCAGTTTCCTTCAGGTGCTGGATAACACTCGCCTGTCCTAGCACAGCAGCACTGACCAGTGCCAAAGAGACCGACCACAGATTAACTTCTGTTGGAACTGCAGAGAGGACACGGCGCTCCCAACGAGATGTTCTACCCTTCCAGTGAAATATTCACTGGTTAGTGCGCAGGCCAGGCTTGCAAACAGCCACCTGGATACTCGGATGTAGTGAGTCAGACGTTGTCTCTCCAGATGAGGGCTGGAAAAGTTTATTTTTAAGGGGGCCCCCCGGGGTTGAAAAATCGATCTAAAACATACAAGGGCAATAGGGTGGGTACCTTTGGCAGAGTCGGCCTATCACATTCCTCTTCCACCCGTTTACCTATCAAGTACTACTCTATTTGCAGGCCCAGGTATTAAGCGGATAAAAGGTAAAGGTTCCCTTGCTCGAAAGCCAGTAAAATCCGACTCTATGGTTGGCTCATCTCTATTTCAAAGCCGAACAGCCAGCGCTGTCCGAAGACGTTTCCGTGGTCATGTGGCCCGCATGACCGGCAAGGCGCACGGAACGCTGTTACCTTCCCACCAAAGTGGTACCTATTTATCTACTTGCGATTTCTTGCTTTCGAACTGCTAGGTTGGCAGGAGCTGGAACTAGAGATGGGAGCTCACTCCATCATGCTGCACCCGGGTCTCGAACTGCTGAACTACTGACCTTCCACAGCCTGCAGTTCAGCGTCTTAACCACTTGAGCCACCGCAGCTCCTTTCTATCAAGTAGATAGAAGGGACAAATTTGTGCATCTTGCCCTACTGCCCTCTGGATTCATTTCTTTCTCCCCACCCAAATATGAATCATTCATCTGTTTGGAAACGAAAGTTTCAGAAAAGATACAGCCTGCCTTTCTGTTGAACACATCCAACCCCTCTTGGCAGCAAAGAACGCCCCAACTAATAAAGCCCATTAACAAAAGCAATCAATAACAGCGATAAAACCCGTACAATAGCAGGCGCCCATTCACCTCCTAAAATAACTCAGAAAACAGCAGCCTCCCGAAACCGAAACACACCCTGGTGACACACAGAGCCAGGGAAGCCAAGTGACACACGCATGGCTTGTCAGAAAGCTCCACTGCCTTTGAGGGGGCACTGCCCCTTCATTGCACAGGAATAAACCCCAGGGGAAATGAGATGGGGGCAGATGCAACCCCCCCACCCTGGGGGGGGGGGTTTCCTCTCAAAAGTCTCCCCACCAACACCCACCATATGGACCAGCCGCCTGCCAAAGAGGAATCAGTTGCTGCTGCAAACTCACCCCCCCCCCCAGAAGCACCCAAACTTAACTTATAAGCACCCACGCTTATTTAGGAAGTGGAGTCCCACTTGAGTGGAACAGGGCTTATTTGGGAGTAAGCGTCCCGCCAGATTGCAGCGTTAAGGCACAAAGAAGACCCCAAATTCGGGATCGGACTTTGGCACTCTTCACAGGGGAGGGGGATCGAGCCTTATGTCCTGCCCACGAAAAGCTCCGGGCAGAAGAAACCAAATGCTCCCCCCCCACCACCCCCAAAAAGCTTTTACTGAAAGTGCTCCTCCATGCAACTACCTTAGGTGAAAGAACAGGGTTTTAAAAAATAAAAGTGCAGCGCCTAGTAACACCTCGACAGCACTACACAAAAGCAGGAGAAATGTAAGAAAACCAGAGGCGAGGGGGCAGCCATATGCAGGGCGATCGCCTGCCGGTTTTCCGCCCACTTGTTCGGGGAAAGCCCCCCTCCCTCCCTTCGAATTAACCCTTCCCACCCCCTGGCTCCCTCTCCTGCCCACCCCCGCCCGCCCCCATACTCA